TATGGGTAGTCCCAAGGAGGATGAAATCCTGAGAGTTCAATGTAAATCCAGAGCTAATATTTTAAAGAAAAACAGACCACTTTATCCATTATAATTATAATTATTCCATTATAATAATTTATTTCACCAGAGCCCTTTTAAAGGACGCCGGATCATCAGATAGCACTTCCAAAAAATGAAACGAAAAATGAAATGAAAATTTACACTTTTGATGGGTAGTGTAAGTTTCTGTAATTTAACAAAAACATAACCATGTGACCCCCCCCCAAAAAAAAAGAAGAGAAGAAACCTACTGTAGGAACCAGCGTTTTCTATGTCTACACTAACTTAAGATTTTCATTTTTAAATTTAGCAAATTGTTAGGTTCCTTAAATAAACCAATGGCTAACTTTTCCTCTCTACATAGAGGACAAATTTTATTACCTGCTTTATATTTTTGACATTTCTTTAATATTTCCCATTTCAAAATGGGGTCTTTATTATAATCATGTTTAATTTCCCATATATAAGTAGATAACGTAGTATTATGTTTGATTTTTTCGTTATTAAAACTACTAATATGGTTATAATACCGTTTTTAAAAATATATATATGTATGTATGTATAAAAGTGAAGATTGAAGTCAACACTCAGATATATAAAACATATATATATATATATATATATATATATATGTGTGTGTGTGTGTGTGTGTGTATAAGTGAACATTGAAGTGAAGGTGGACTGACGATTACGTCTAGCATGAAACAGCCTGTCGCCTCTTGGTGTTGACTTCAATGTTCACTTTTATATTTACATACTCTCTATCTCTGATATTGAGCACTTTATCCCATAAATATAGTACACCTTAAAACCATATTTCTTCATATATATATATATATATATATATATATATATATGGCGATATTCTATTAGTCTATACCATGATTTTCTTTCATTTTTAATTAGTTTCCCAATCACCTTTCTGTGCACAGAAAAAAAAAATAACAGAAAATAATTACTGAAACACAAAAATTTAATAAGGTGTTTAGGAAACTAATTAAATATGAAACAAATCATGACATAGATTAATAGAATATCACCGTAGAGTACCTATATATATATATATATATATATATATATATATATATATATATATATGTGTGTGTGTGTGTGTGTGTGTGTGTGTGTGTGTGTGTGTGTTTGTGCAGATAGGCATGTAGTCGTGTGACCGATGTAATTATTTAGGAATTCGGTTTGATAAGGAATACATTTCTTTAAGGGGCATTTGAACCTGTAAGTATTACATCGGTCACACAACTACATGCCTGTCCCGACGCCTTACGTTACACCTATCTAACACAACTCTATTAGAACCCATTTAAACACACAGACAAACTTACCAGACTCCATGCGAAGCATACTACTGGGAATTACAAACATAATAACCCCATTTACATGTATAGAAAGATCAAAAATATGGAAGCCTTAATAATAAAAAAGAAAAACCCAACACTCAATAATATTAACTACGAACACGGTTACAATGTGCTGACTGTGTTCGGAAAATAAAACATCCCTATAACTCTAGAAACATACATACAACCCATACACCCAGTTAAAAAGCAAAAATAAAATCACCCTTGAAAAATGGCTAAAAGTATAGCCGAAAGCATTTAGAATTATAGGACATTTGGACCGTTTCTGCACATTCTGTGTCCAGAAAAGAATACACTTGTTTGAACGCAAGAAAAATTAAATAAAATGCTTACTCTCAGTACCTTGTCTGTCGTCTTTAATGAAACATATATATATATATATATATATATATATATATATATATATATATTTACGAAAAACAAAATAAGGTTAATGATTTAATTGTTAGAAATCCATCATCATAAACAAATTCAAATATTCATAACGGAAACCTCCAGGTTCCGTATAATTTGAATTGTTTTCCATAAATTGGATTTCTTTCAATTCATTCATTAACCTTTTGCTTTTGTTTTGTGTGTGAATAACTCATGAATTTATAAATTGATTGCATCGTTTATCATAATATATATATATATATATATATATATATATATATATATATATATATATATATATATATATATATATATTTATACAAGAGTTGAATCAGAAAAAACAGTAGAAAAAGGCCAGGAAACAGTAGAAAAAGTGCTCAATACACGTGTGAAACAAATAAAATAAAAGTAAAAATAACATGTAGTGCTTTTAACTTTAAAAATCAGGAGGTCACTTGAATCCGCTACCTTCATTTCAACCTTACAGTACCTCAGGCGAATTTTATCAATTAACCTCTTAACGCTGTATTTAAAAGAAACAAAAACTAATAATGAACGCTATATTATTTTTTTTTAGAAGTAAATAAACAAACGCACGTCATTGGATGAAATAGAAAGGGAGAATATGAAGAAGGATGGAGACGAAGAAGAAGAAGGGGAAGAGAAGAAAAGCAAGGGTATTATAAAAGTGTCGGTTTTGGTGGAGT